GTACCTTGATGTCTGTTGAACTGGACTATGAAATTGTTTCGGGAAATTCAATTTTTATTATGAGTTTTTACTTAAGAGTTTTTTCTGACAAAGAAAATCTTTCGATTGGAACATAGCAAGTCTTTGGAGCGAACTTAGAACTTATCTTGACTTAACATTAGCCTCTCTCTTGACAGATCCGCTGGCCTTCGTTGAAACATTTTTAATAGTGACCTTGACATACGAGCCCTCCTAAACCTTGAAATTAAAGCTACATAATTCCTAAAATTTTCATTCAGTACTTTTTGATTATTTTAATGAAAGATATGAAGCTTGGCGAATAACTAAATCCATATAAACTCTTCATTGATGATTTTTTAGGTGACCTGAATGTACAAAAAGCTCCATAATTCGTAAAATGTTCATACAGTACTTTTTGATTACTGTAATGAACAATATGAAGCTTGGAGAATCCACATGTCCACAAAGGGTACGCTTACCCGAATTCCATCACGATGGGAACGAGCAGGTGTTCCCCTGTCTTCGCGCACTCGGGTGCTGTATTGATGGGTCTCGTGCAAGCTCAGTAAGCGTTAGTCTACAACCAGCACTTGTGGTGTTGCGAAAGCCTTCTGGCACAGAGTGGAACATAAAAGGTCAATGGAACTATTAGCTCATAGTAAGCTTCATATGGTGGCAATTATAGGTGTCCTAACTGGACTCTGTTCCATTAGCACTTAAGCGGTGAAGCTAAAGAGTTTGGAGGTCACTACTTGTCAAAATTGCAGGGAGGAAGATGAGCTGGAAACATCTCGACACTTTTTCCTCCACAGTCCAGCTTTCGCCAGATTAAGGTTGAAAATTTGTAACTGACTCTAGGCGCTTTATAGATATGCTACGGTCTTTTTGGTCCATACCTACGAATTCTGAGCATCGCAACGGACAGGCGTCTCTAGCGGTCCAAGTGGGATTACTTGTGGCCTCACGAACAATCATATTTACCTAACCTAAGCTCAACTAACGTTTTCAATGTCTGTCAAGATCTAACTAAATACAGTAGCGACATCAAAATTTCTATGTATTTAACTATCAGCTTTTAATTAACAGTTACAGCGTTGCATTTTACATTTTTAGTAACTTCAAAATGTCAACAACTTAACCAACTGACCTCGTATTTAAGTGTCGTGCAGTAGTAAAAAAAAAGTAAAAATAACTTTCTTGCTATCGCTGTTGTTATGATTTCTGTCTCTCTATCTTGCATTATAGCCAAGCGACGTTGCTCGACCATTACTGTAAGATTTTTGTTTATTGTGTAAATACGATATTCAATGCGAGATTACACGGGCTGAGGTCGGCGCTCAGTTTGTTGATACTGTGTATTTGTAGAGACAACTTTTATATGGTTAATTTGTCGGTTTTTTTCGAGAAATGTAACTGAAATCAAAGTTTAATTAGCATTTAATTTATACGTATGTGGAAAAAGGCTTTTACCTAAAATAGGTCGCTTATAAGATGTTAGATAAGTTGTAAATATTAGAGACCTCGCAAGTGCAGTTATAACTAGGGAGATTAATTTGTTTTTGTTCAACATGTAATCTTACATTTCACAACAATTCATTTATGGTGAGGCAGACAAAATAGTTAATATATGACACACAGATGGCGCCGTAGCTTCATAATAAGAATATTTCGTAAAACTGAGAATTTGTAGCTTCATAAGATGAAGTTTTTGTATAAATATCTAAAATTTAACTTGCTACAGACCTCAGTTTGTTTAAATACACGGTGAAATATTAATACAATCGTGCTTCAACAATTAGATAATAGATGACAGTTGCAATTTTTTGTATAGTTCTCGAAGTCCAGCAGTCGTAAAAACTCACAGACTACTGAAATTCGTGATTCCATTGGAAACACAACATTTTTAGTATACTTTTTGTCAATCCATGGTAAAATTGACAGACAAACCTTTCGCGCCATAAACAAACAGCCACTAAAGGACATATGTACATATGTACTTATGAAGATCAAAAATCAGACGAACATAAAAAATGTTTGTTTGGATATCAGAAAAAAAATTTATGGATTCGGTTTGCGCACGCAGTTTAAATGGAGCAGTCCTGATCAAATTTGATAAGTTTGTATTGATTGTATTTTTAGCGGCGCAATCTGCAGGAAGAGGTTCAAAAAGGGTGTGGACACAAGTTACCCTGATTCCTACATCAAATAGTCGATTGTAACCCCTAAAAAGCTCGAAGTAATACCTGGCTCGATATACATTTATTTTTTTCCACCTATAAATAAGCTTTCTATTACTTTGAAATAAGATATATGGTGGAAAATATTATGTCACAATCAAGTGCAGTCTACATACGCGTATGTAGGTGTCGCCGAGTCAATGCTCTTCTTTATACACAGCGACATCTCTGCACTTTGCGATTACTAACCAACTAAGATTAATGCTTTAATATGTCATCTTAAATCTCTTTAATGCTCCCTTACACAATTTCAGACACTTCTTGGTTCATCCACCATCAAGTACCATATTTATATGCAAGAAGGTACCATATTTCCTTCTCTTCTCTTCTTGTTGTACTATTATCCACCTCTTGAATTCCTCTTTAGTCTATAAGTATACAGCATTAAGCAAGGATTTGAATTGTTATCCACCTCTTCAGTTTGTCTTTAGTCTGTATTGCAATAAGAAAGCATCTAGGACGTTACATACAGTTCCGCCCATTACACTTCTTTAATCTGTCTCTTAGACAGTCTCTAAATGGATTATGTTACGTATATTACACAGTTTTATCTAGAAGATGGTTACATGACTGAGCTGTACTAATTGCTTACTATTGTTTACAGAAAACGCAAATAAGAAAATGCCAAAAAAAATAAACTTTGAATTTCTAGAAAAACCTACTTTTTTTCATAACCATCAACAAGATCAATACATTTCTGGCCTATGCTTGTTTATGGCCAATTAAACCTAACTAAGCGCTGGTATCTAAAAGTGTGGTGGGTTTTAAATAATATATGTATACAAACATAGCTACCATCCTTCCAATAAGACTAACTTTTGAGACATTGTATATTTTTAATAAAAATATGTATTTATGTATATTGTGTTATGAAACTAAGAAAAAAACTCTTCAAAATGAGTAGCGGTACAATAGTAATATCTAATCAGTTGAGTGTGTTACACAGTTGTATTTATGTATATATGATAAGTATTTATGTATATATAGTATAAATGTATGTATAAACATATGAGTATAAGTATATTACGAACTCGTTACAGCCAGAAATTGTCGTGAAAAGTTACTAAATTCGGGTTTCAGCCAGTTGTTTGTTTAGCGTCAGCTGTTACTACTGCTGCTGTTGGAAAGTGAAATTATTGATGAAGATGCACTTTTACTTCCGCGAAAGTTAAGTTAAGCTTTTCAAATATTATTATTTGTATATCGTGCGTTTAAATTAAGGGAAAAAAATCTGCTAATTATGAGTTCAAATTTCTTCAAAATACAATAAACTTTTAATGAAATATTTGTACTTATGAATGTGGGGTGAATATCTAATATATATTTTAAATAAAAAAAAATTTTATATTCAGTCATAAGTATGCTTTAATACTCAGCCACCCAAATGGAAGTCGAAAAACTATGTAAAGTGTTATACGCGGCGTATGAGTGATTTTACTGACAGGATTTGTAAGCATGTTAGGCGGCCAGACATAATACCGCTGAACTGAATTAAAAGAAGAAAACACGTTAACTGCTGCTGCATCAAAGTTATAATACCCTACCTACAAGTGCATTTCTTATAGCATAAAAGTGTATAAAAAATCTTTATCGTAATTTTGTTCGGTCAGTTTGTATGGCAGCTATATGCTATAGTGGTCCAATCTAAACAATATGTTCGCAGATTATAGCGTTGCCTTGAATAATAAATCTTGCATAATTCCATGCAGATATCTTGTCAAATAAAAAAGTTTTCCATATACGAATTTGATTTTGATCGGTCAGTTTGTATGGCAGCTATATGCTATAGTAGTCTGATAGTAGTGGTTCTGACAAATGAGTCGGTTTTTTGGCAGAAAAGGAGGTGTGTAAAATTTCAGATCAATAACTGAAAAACTGAGGGACTAATTCGTGTATTTACAGATAGGCAGACAGATGGACTGATAGGTAGACAGACGGATCGAATCAGATCGTCACGTTGATCATTTATATATATGCTTATAAGGTTTTCGGCGTTCCCTTCTAGGTGTTACAAACTTCGTGGTCAACTAGAGGTGATTATCGTCTATATACATGTATGTTGAATACATATGTAACTATACGTATATATTTTCAAATGTTTCAAACATAAATAATGATCAAGCCTTTAATAGGTCACACAGCAGACGATTATACTTTCTTCCTAAAAAAAAAAATTTAAAATCAGTACTCAGTATAGCTAAAAAAAATAACGATGCTTTCGAAAAAACTTGGTAATGCTAGAAACTTATGAATCCTTAGCTTTCGAAAACCCCGAAATTATGAATTAAAAACATTTTTATCATTCGAAGAACTGACTGAGTTAGACCGCTTCGCGTACTTTCTAGGTTAAATTTGAAGTTTTCGACCTAATAATCGAATTTTCGAAATTTGAAAAACGTGCTAAAGGTCATAGCAATCTTGAAGTCAATATGGCAAAAAAGAGAAATGTGAGAGGAAGCTTCAATTGACATCACTAAGCACCAAAAACTCAAATTTCGCTTACATAACCTAAAAAATATTTAGGCAAGCAAGTTGACCCAATTTTCGAACATATTTGAACATGTAAAATATCAAATTGTTCGAATGTTAAAACATGCAAACGAACCGATTAACAAATAGAAATCGAGTGCAGAGGTAATAGAGCAACAAAACCAAAACAATTCAAACGCAAGGCTCACTGCAACAAGTTGCGGCGCACGAAGACGAAATTAAAACTCGAAAGTCGAATTAAAAACTGTTATACAATAATCAGGAAAAACTTACCACAAACATGGCGCGGCGCTTGTAATGCGCACAACCGAAGCGCAAATCCAAATCGAAGCTAACGGGCGACAGCGGCAACGAGGACGTGGTGGTTGTCGTGCTGGCCACAACAACATCCGAAATACTTTTGTTGCCGCAAATGACTTGATTATCATTATCTATCGCTTTTACTGATTTCGTGCCTGACTGCTGCTGTTGTTGGTGCTGCGCTTGTTGCTGTAGCAGCTGTCGCTGTTGTGTGTCTTGTTGCTGCGAAGCATGCGCGACAGTCTGCGAACGCGTTACGCCATCCATTGTGGCAAGCTGCGGTGATGCGCTTATTGTTGTTGTTTTTGCTATTGTTGTTATTGCCTCAATTGAAGCATTAGCACGCTGTGTTGCATTTGTGATTATTGCTGGTGATGGTGCAAAGTTTACTTTTGTCGCTGCTGCTGCTGATGTCGCTGTTGGCTTTGTACATGTGGCAGCGTCGCGGACATGATCTTCATCGCCGCCAACATCATCACTATCACTTTTCTTGCCACTCAATTGCTCTGACTTTGGCAACGCTTTACTCACGCTTTTGCTACAGCTCTCACTTGATCTGTTGCTGTTGTTGTTGTAGCCAATCATCATATTGCCATCGCTGTGGCTCAACGCCGCTGCTACGTCAGCAATCTTAAATGAAGCTGGTGTGGAGAATGATTTGCGTAGCGTAAGCTTTGTCGTCTTGGCTTTCGTTCTTTCAATTGTTGGTGATGTTATTGTTCTTGTTGTTGTTGTTGTGCTTAGTTTCATTGTTGTGCTTATTTTCTCGCTGATCAGTGCGTTGGTTTCCGTTTGCGCAGCTTTTGCTATTGTTAGCGTTATCATTTGTTGTTCTTGTTGTTGTTGTTGTTGCTCTGGCGCATTGCTCCCATTACTGTTGTTGTTGCTGTCATCTTTTATCATTCTCATGTTTTGCTTGTTTTTACAGTTGCTGTTGTCAATTGCTTGATCACAGTCCTTTACACTGTTGTTATTGTTGTTGCAATTTATTGTTTGTTGTTGTTGTTGTTGTTTTTGCTGATTAATATTACCCGCCTTGCTGTGTTTATTATTATTACGAATGTTATTGTTGTTACTACTGACGCTACTACTCAAGCTATTTTGTTGCTGCTGCTGATTGTTGCCTCTACAATTGTGCTTGTTGTTGTTGTCATTGTATACTTGTTGTTCGGCGTAAAGTGATGATTTTAAATTGATTTGATTGAGGTCCCTTGTTATGGACAACATGTGTTCAGCTTGTTGTTGTTGTCGTTGTCTTATTTGTTCTTGTTGTTGCCATCGTTCATGCGTTGTCACAGTTGTCGTCGTTGTCGACAATTGATTGCGAGCATTAATCAACATCGATGAGTCTAATTTGGCACCAGTTGTTGCTGTTGATTTCGTTGTTGATTTGTTGTCCGTGTTATTATTGTTGTTGTTGTTTACATTCTTATGCGCATTAGTATTGTTGTTATTGTTCTTGCTATTATTGTCACTGATGATTTTAATTGCCATTGCTGGCTTCAATTTAGTCCTCGCTTCCTCGCCATTGCCCGCCACCGCAGCCGACTCCTTGGCACCCCCCACTAGTCGCATTGTTGTCAATGTGCTATATGCAACGTTGAAACACTCTCGGCCTGTCATCGTTTCAGCCTGTGCTGTTGGACGCTGTCGTTTTTGTTGTTGTTGGCTTGCGGCTGTCTCGTTGGCGGTGGTTTGTTGTAGCGGCAGGTTGTTGCTGGCACCGATGTTGCAATAGGAGTGTGTTGTTATTGTTGTTGTTGGTATGCGTTTGTAGGTATTGTTGTTGCTGCTGGATTTTGCACTGCCAAAGTTTGGCTCTATGTGATTGTTGGCAAAATTATTTGCTGAATTTACGCGTGTTGTTGCATGCATGTTGTTTTAGCACTTGTTGTTGTTTTTTTTTTATCAAATATTAGTTTTCACTACACTTCTGTGGTAAAATTTTGTACACAGTTGCGTATTTAATATTATCATATATGAATATATGCTTGTATGTAGGTATATATGTGTGGCACTAAGCTTTTTCTTGTTCTTCACTATCTTAGCATAACCTTACCATGCACAACACATACAAATCAGGTTCAACTACACAATGCCTTTAGTAGAGAAAAACACATGAATAGAAAAAATCAAAAAAAAAAAAAATAAAAATAAAAAAAATTTAAAAAAGTTACCAAAAAATTGCGGACAACACGTTGCATATACAACTACGTTCGAAATAACAGCAGCGGCTTGTGAAAACTAAAATAGTGGTATTTATACCCTTAATATACCCTAAGTTTGTCACAAAGTTTGTAACACCCTGAAGGAATCGTCGGAGAATCTATAAAAAATATATATAAACGATCAGTTTGACGACCTAAGTCGATTTAGCCATGTCCGTTGTCTGTCTGTATACCATATACGTGAACTAGTCCCTCAGTTTTCAAAATATCGTTGTGAAACTTTGCACATGGCTTTCTCTCCCCAAGAAGCTGATAATTTGTCGGAAACACCGATATCGGCCTTCTATAGCATATACCTGCCATACAAACTGAAAGATCAGAATCAAGTGCTTGTATGGAAAACTCTTTCATTTCAATCTCCGAATAAATTGTTTAGATCGGATCACTGTAGAGTATATGTAGCTGCCATAAAATATTGCCCGTCTATGTTTAAATTGATTTTTGTTACAGACCGGATTCATGGAATCCCGTTTGGTGAATATCGCTGTTTCGAAAACATATTTTTAGCAAAATTGGGTCGGGCCAGACATTGTTCTAAAAGTGAACAAAATCTCATTAAAAAATGTTTGGCGAAGGAAAAATCTTACAAATTTATCGAAGATTTGTTCGGCTATTGTGTCAAAATAATTGCGAATGTAAAAAAATGAAGACAAATCCTGAAAAAGGGGGACGAAAAGAGACTCTTTCGCGACCACGGTTCAGTTGTGGTTTTAGCACGAGAAAAGCCATTTTGTACCCCAAAAAATAATTAAATTTGAGTTAAATCTTGGTATTACTGGTATAAGAAAAAAGTTGATAACAGCCAAACTTTTCGGCAGGAGCCCAAGAAAGGTACGAATTACTTCAACCCCGGCATGCGCAGGCCAGAGTTCAATTTGCTAAAGAGCACCTGCATTGGTCAGTCGAAAAATGGTGCAACATATTGTGGTCCGACAAAATGAGAGTTTTTTTTATTTGGTACTCAAAGACGCCGGCAGTTCGTAAATAAAACATGGAGGTACCAAATCAAGATATGGAGCGGGTATATTGGATTAAGAAATTGCCAAATTATACCTTGAAATAATGGATCTTTAAGTAGAGGTCCAGGAAGCTGTAGGGGAAGAGAATCTGTCAAAGCCGACTCAGTCACCTAACCTTAATTCAATGAAGAATCTTTGGGTAGAGGGCAAGGAAGCTGTGGGTAAAGGAATGCGTTAAAGATAAAGAGACAAAGTTCTCATCGTTCCGATATGTGGAAAAAAGTATCTGAGGTCAAAGCTCACAAAAAAATTTTATTTCGCGATTTTCAACGAAACGGTAAGATGTATCAAAAAATTATCTTAGACAATTTCAGATCATGAAATTTTAAGAAACGGTATTCTGACCGGAATATATAATTAAAATCAAATACATAATATTTTCTTCAATAAAATTCCTGGTTATGCCACTGGTATTATTTCGAATGCTTATGTATATACATATGTATATAAATGCATAAGTATACATACATATACACATATACGGACGAGTATATGGTATGTGTATGTATATAATATAATACATTTTGCATGCATAAATTCACTCCGGCTCTCGCCCAATCGTTTCCCGTTTTCAAATTTGTGTTTGTTGTTATTTTTATTGTTGTTGTTGATTTTTTATTTTGTATGCGCGCCACATTGACTGCCCTTAGAGCGACTTTTTCAGCTGTTTGCTTAACGAAATTTTTTATTAAAGTACTGCGTGGTTGCCTCTTGTTGGTGTTATCAATTTTAGCACTATATAGGTGTTTGTTGTTGATTTTGTATGCACATAATAATATTATTTTATTTTTTGTTGTTAACGTTTTCATACTTTCATATATGGTATAAAAAATATATATTTATATATACATATATTTTTATTTTTACATGTACATATATACATATGTATATGTGGTTGTTATTGTTGTTTCTTTAATTAGAAAGCATCCTAAATCAATATCAATCACTAAACTTTTTTTTACAATTTTAATTTAACAAAATTTTACAGTTAACGTCAGTGAAAATTGTGCTCATAAACTCCTCGTTTTCGTTAATCTAAAAGCACGCCGCGGAGCTTCGCGCACGAGCACTTGCTGGTGTATTTTAGGCAGCGTATAACTGTATGAGTGTTTTATGATGTTTTAACAGTCATTGAAAACGTGTGTTACACATTAGAAGTTTGTGCGCGCGTGTGCAAATGGATTTGCTTTCTAAAAAATTTAAATTTATGTGATAAAACCATCACACACGCACATAAAGAAAAATGCAAGTAGTAATGCTGTGTGACGCTGTTCGCTACTGCTATAACGGAGCTTCGTGTTCGGTATTTCGAGATATTTCGGAATGTGACGATCGTGACATTTCAATTTGACTTCTTGCAGAAATAATCACTGAAATACAGCCGAGAGCAGTAAGAGAGAAATTTAAAACGGCTAAGCCTTGAAGACTGGAGACACATTTACGGTAATAAAAATAAGATAAAAGTATTGTGGGCAATGTAAGAAATGCTAATCATTCGCTCGTAACTAAAAAAGTCTAAATGCCATCGCAGAATATTTATCGAAGCAACAATCAATGTTCAACCCGATGTTCGACTGGTGATAGTGTTCTCTCTATCAACTGAAATTAAGCTCTATAAGTCTCTCATAAATCCCGTCCTATTATACAGCACAGAAACATGAACGATTACGAACGGAGATGAGTAAGCACTTGAAGCATTAGAGACAATTGTTCTCTAAAAGGTCTTTGGAATCGTACGCATGAGCTAGAAGTACATGGAAACATGAACTGGATAAGCTCTACGGCGACATGCATATAGTTAAGCGTATAAAAATCCAACGAATGTAATTTATCTTCAAGACATTTTTGACTCCACAAAAGACTTAATTGTAATTATCAAGAGATGAACTTCCAAACATGAATCAGCAACATTATCTACAAAGGTGGTAGCTATCATGGAAGAGATATAGACAAAAAGTCGTATTGAATGGCTGGTTAATGAGAGAACTTGGATTAGCTGATATGGTGAGATTTCATAAAACTCAATGTGACAACAAAGGGCTCCCTATCGAAAATCTAAGAGTTGTAGTTCGAATTGCGTGCTAAAGTATGTTATTCGCTTGGCTGGGCTTGCTCAGTGTTAAACAAGACGTATGTATTGGAAGCAGTGAGAGGTTTCCTTATGAAAAAGACAGACTACGACTACTGGCATTCAATGTGACAAATGAAAGGTCACATAAAATATTTGAACAATAAAAATGAAAGTAATGAAACACTTATTGCAACAAAGTTCATATATAAAGCTTGAATATTGCAAAAACAATATACAGGGTGGTCAATAAAGTGGTTCTTACTTCAAACGTTTTCAAACACTACTACTTGACAGCATTTGCACGAGATCTAGCTGAAGACTGCCTTACGTTCGAAGAACTCTAGAAATACTTTCAAGAAATTGTGCTCGTAAGATCGCTTCTTCTGACGTTCGGATACGTACCTATACTCTCGACGGCTATACTAACAAGTCAAACTTTCTTAATTGAGTATCAGATAGGCCGCATGACTTGATCGAGAACGCAATGGACTCACAAGTAATCATAGTTGAGTGTGAGTTTTAGAACTATGATATCTTTAAAAATGTTGCTAGAAAACGCATTTTAGTTCACAGTGAGCATAACAGAGATATGTTAGAAGATGTTTTTGAGACCGGAAGTTAAAGCAAAGCATTTGAAAAACCTTTGATTTCAGTAAAATAGCGAGAAATGATAAATAGCAAATGTGACAATGAAACTTTTGCGTGACAAGTTTGTTAAACGTGAGACACCTGGTCGATATTAGTTGACCACTTTGATTGACATTCCCAGGCTGTTTCTGCCAGCTGATTGAAAGTCAACTGCAATTAGCACATTTATTAACACATTCAAGCTTTTAGAGGATATATCAAACAAGACATGCGTCAGAGAGAGTTATAAACCGGCACTAATGGCCCGCTAAGTTGGGATTACAGAGTGCTAGTCAGAAGAGACGTTCGAGTGAAATCGTGTTTTATAAAAAGGGCTTTTTTTGTTTCTTCTTCTTCTGTATTCTTTTGGATTTTTATATCTTGAAAAGGGTATATTAAGGTTGCTACGAGATTTGTAAAACATAAAAAGAAAAGTTGAAGGCCCTATAAAATATATACATATATATAGTAACAATCAGCATAACGAGCTGAGTGAAACTATGTCCGTCTGTTTTTATAATCGAACTAGTCCCTCAGTTTATGAGATACCGATCTGAAATTTGGCACACGTCTTTTTCTCCCCAAGAAACTGCTCATTTGTCGGAATCGCCGATGTGAGACCATTATAGAATATAGCTGTCGTACAAACTGATCGGTCAAAATCAAGTCCTTGAGTGGAAAACATTCTTATTTGATAAGATATCTTCACGAAATTTGGTATTAATTATTTTCCAAGAAAATGCTACTATCAACGAATATATTGTTCAGATCCGATTACTATAGCATATAGTTGCCATACAAACGAACCGATCCAAATCAAGTTCTTGTATGGAAAACTGTTTTAGTTGTTAAGATAACGACAAAAAATTTGCATCGATTAGTATGAAAAAAAACACTACAATCTAGGAAAAAAAATTTCAGATCGAACCACTTTAGCATATATATGTATTTGTATGTTGCTGCCATATAAACTGGCTGATCGAAATCAAGTTAAAAATTATTTAAGGCTGAAAGAATTGGACCTGTGAAGAGTATTATAGCTTCGGTGAAGTTGCGTTTTTCCTTGAAAACTTACATAGGAAAATATGTAAGAAGCACCCTGTAGTTGCATATATTCATGTTCGCTTTATGTGAAATGAATTACATTTGACTTTCAAATTGCTAAACAAAAGTAATGAAAACATTGCATATTTAAGACCTTGATACACATGACAGTAGTAAATTATTTAATGAAACATACTTTTTAATAAAACAACAAATGTCATTGAAATTATTTTTCAAAGCGCAATCGTACATAAAAATGTAGTATGAAATATCGAGCATTAACGAGCCTCTACACTTTACATACAAATTGGGTCAATCCTTTTGTTCTACTGGCTTTCTGTTGCTAGGGCGTTAAAGCAGAGAACTTAAAAGAACGAGAAGGTGCAGGTCAATTACGTAATCTGGTTGAAGGGTTGCGAACTTTTAAATTCAAAAATTTGGGATTAAAATTTAATTTTTATTTTTTAATCCCGATGTGAATACCGGTGGGAATAAAATTTGAAAATATTACTTTTTAATGAATTTGAATGAATGAAAAATTTTTAAATTTTTTTAATTTTTAATTACATACATATAATTTTTTAATGCATTATTTGCAACTCTATATAAAAAATGGCAAACTATTTTCACACAAACACACACACACATGCGCACAATTTTGATTTTTGCCTTTGTATGCCTACAAAACCACTGAACGAATTTCATACGCAACGTTTTCACTGTCTGTCAGCCGAATACGCACAAACGACTTAGTGCATGCGAACGGCGTAAGGTTGCCAGTTACATTTACACAAACACGCGCACATGTGCCCGGCTGCATGCACTTTTACAATGTTTACAAAACACGTTGAAGGCGAATGCCACGCCATAAAAAGTTGATACCTCCCAAAAAAACAATAAACTATATAAATGTATACGAAAATTTGCCTATGAAACGCTTTACATACATACACATCTACATTTATGTATATATTTGCATTCGCGTCGCGATCATTCAAGCTCCAGATCGATCAACAGACTGCGAAGTGGGGTAAAGCGCCAACAAACAGTGGCGACTACTGCGCACAAAAAAATTAACAAAATAAAAAAATAACACGAAATTTTTGTTAATTAAGCTATGGACAGTGCCGATGACGATGATGACGATGATGACGACGACAACGACAACGACGTTAAACGAGAGTCAACAGACGTGCGCAAAGTCGCTGTAAAAGGCACCGCCTGTCGTAGAGCAAGCCAGCGCCACTATTTGTCTATTGGTATGTCGCAAAGCTTGTGTAGTTAACGATAGGAAAATTTTTAATTTTATTTTGAGAAATTTTTTGTATCATGGTATTTAAAAATATGTATATATAATATGTATGCACTATTTTTTGGCTGCGCGGAAGAGTTGAAAATATATTTTTGAGTTAAAATATTTTTGAACTAAAATATAAAAATATTTTTTTTGTATAATATATAATATTGTATATATTTTTTGGCTGCGCGGAAGAATTGAAAATATATTTTTAAAATAATATTTAAATATTTTTTTTATAATATTTGGTAGTATTTTTGGCTGCGTGGCAGTTATAAATATTTGCATAAACTAAATTTTCTTTAAATTGTTTATAAATATTTTTTTAACAGTATTCAATTTTTTTAAATAATAAATTATTACATCTATATTGAATCTTAGCTGCGGGGAAGAGTTGAAAATATATTTTTGCATTAAAATTTTTTTGAACTAAAATATTTACATAGTTTGTTTTTTATGGTATATAATATTAGATATACTTTTTCGCTGCGCAGTAGAATTGAAAATATAGTTTTAAATAATATTTTAATATTTTTGTTTTTATAATATTTTGAAGTATTTTTGGCTGCGTGGGAGTTAAAAATATTTGCATAAATAAAATTTTCTGTAAATTATATTTAAATATTTTTTTTAACAGTATTGAATTTTTTTATTAAATTAAATACACATATGTATGTATGGTATATATTTTTGAAATATTTTTTTCAAATAATATTAAAAATTTTTTTATAACATTTTTTATTGTTTTAACATTTATCAATTAAGTTTCCGTTTAATTAATTTTTTATATATTTAAATATTTGACACAGGTTACTACCCATGACAGCGCTATAATCTACGCAGAAATTGTTCAGATCGGACGACTTTAGCATATTGCTGCCATACAAACTGATTTACTAAAATCAAGTTGTTGTATGTTAAGTTTTTATTTGTGAAAGGTATTATGACGTCGGTGCGACAAATTTTTCTTTTTTAATATTTTTGTTCGGTTTAATTTTTTTTAATATAAATTGTATTTCTTTTGTATTTTATTTTACTACTTTCGTTTCATTTAATTAAGTTTTAAAGTATTATTTTTTTAATTGATTTAATTGCAGTTTTATTTTGTATTATTTAATTTAATTTTAGTTTTTTAATTTTATTACAATACTTTGGATTTTTATTAACTTAGTTTTTGTTTTTATATTATTTCTTATTGAAATTAGTATTTTTTTTTTTAAATTTTAACGTTCAATTTAATTAAATAAACTTTATATATTACTAAAACTTAAATCGTGTTGATTAATTAAATTTATTTTTACAATATTTTTATTTTAAATTGTTATATTTTAATTAATTTAATTTTTTTAATTCCTCTTAAATTTTTATTTTATTTCTGTTAATGTAATTTAGTTTTATTGTCATTGAATATTAGTTAAACTATGTTTTTATTTCATTGTTATCTTAACTTATTTTACAATGTTCAATTTTTATTTTAAATTTGTTATACTTTATTAATTTAATTTAAATTTTTTTATTATATCTTAATAGTTTTATTTTTAATTATATACTTTTTTATATTTTATTTTAATTTATTTTATATATTTTGAATTTTGTTATTTTTCATTATTTCATTCGTTATTTTACTTTTTCACAAATGCTCATATTTTATTTCTCACTAATTAATTTTTAATCCGTTTTTAATATTTTGCTCACTCTGGTGTATTTTGATAATTTGTTTAATTTTATTTACTTGTCTATTATTTCATTTACTTTTTTATGAATTTTATTTACTTATTATTACTATTCTTATTTTGTCTAGCAGCAGTTCTTTCCATTCCACTCATTATCAATTTGATTAAAAATTGTTTTCCGCATTTGCGAGTTTTGTTACTGTTGTGTTTTGTTGTTATTTACTTTGTCGATGAGAGTATTTCGCTGATATTTGACTATTCGTATTTTTGTTTTTGTTCCATAATTAATTGGCGCATTACGGCACTGGCAGCACTTATGCGCTGCCCAATCGATTATAAATATGTATTTATGGATTATATACATACATGTAAATATTTATATACAATAAACATATGTATGTATGTGCCGCGGCAAACACTTCTGCGTCAACGCTTCTCAATTACAACAATTTAGGCGAATTAATTTCACTGCATACCAATTAACCTAACGATCGCAGACACACTGTTCGAACGCCGAATACTTGAAATTTGACAGTTATTAACAAGAAAACAAGCGTTTGTCAAAAAAACAAAAACACAATAATTAAAATAAATTTGTCAAGTGAAATTTGTGTCCGTTACACCGCCGCATTACACCACAGGCAACTATTTAACCGACATATCGCAACAGACTACACCACACTACACATTTAACTGATATCGCTGACCACGCACAGCACACCGCGCGCGTCCGTACGCCTACCTTTGGCACAGTGTACACTTCAGCACCATTCTCAGTTTTAGGCCACAGCTCCAGCCTCAGCATCTAATTGATTGCCTTAAATTGCTTGGCGAGCACTACGACTACTCGTATAACGGGGTAAATGTGCGCGCGCGTTACGTATCCGTACCAGCTACTTGAAGCTTTTGCCACTCACTGATTTCACATTGGCATTTGCATGCGCGCATATGCTACACCAGCCAGCGCGCTATCTGTACAGCAGCGATGAGCGGCAGCATAGCGCAGCGCACGATGCGCAAAAAACAACGGCGCCTGCCTGATAGTCTGTTATAATCAGCGTAAGCTAGAAATCAAGTCAAGTCGACAAGCCTTCAATAAAAATAACAGTGCTTCTTAAAACGCTTATAAGCGCACTCTCCGAACGCTTCACGCTGTTTGGCATGATCGATGAGCTCGCGCGTTGTTGTTGCTGTTGCTTCTGTTTCGCTTTCGTATGTATATATGTATAGCGCTAAGCTTGGCTTTAAAAGAGCGCTGCGCACAGCTTGTGGTAGATAAGCAGCACAAATTTGGGTGAAGCGTCACAGCAACGACAACAACAACACAAGCTAAAAAATTACAAATTCGAGAAACTTGGTTGGCGCTGAGTGGCGGCGCGCTCACTCGTGCTAAGCGCCGCAAACTCGCGAAAATATTTGCGAGTGACGCCACATTTAAGCGTGTGCAATTTAAGAGGCAACAACAAAAACAACAACAACAATGTCAATAGCCAAAATATAAGTTGTGTGTCGAAAATGCAGCTAATTAATATTGCCATTGGTTTGCGATTTAGCTTACAAACACCACTATATATGTATCTACTTATATATATATACAAACATATGTATGTGTATATAAGTATATACAATTTTATACATATATACTTATAAGCTCTTGTACATTTGTATACAGTTTCGAGTTTGACTTTGCATTTGTTACAAATCTTGTTAATTTACCTTGCTACATTGGTTTACATGTTGTTGTTGGCTTTGCTGTTTTAATTTTTTGTTAGTGTTGTTATTTCTGTTATTTTTTTTATTTGCTTGAATTTATGTTATTTATGCGTAGCAGGTAAAAGTTGTTGCCAAACTGGCTTGGTTGTTAACTTGTCGCGCGGCTTACAACACGCAAAAACGCATACATACATACATGCACACACACATACATATATTCAAACATACATACAATGAAACACATGCAAACACGATTTCAAATCGGTGATTTTTTTGTATGTACAAAGTTAGATATAGATATATTTATAGTATAAAGCTTGATTTATATCCATTCTATTTCAATAACACTCGGGTGTACGTAACCTTTCCGTATCTAGATTTACCATCTGATCAAATATGACCCGGACTAAGAAAACAAACTACATTTTCAAGTAGCGAATTTTGGTTTTTTCGGGATGTTAAAAAAAATTTTTTTTCCAAAAATTTTATTTTTTTTATAATCTACAAATTTTACCCTAAGGCTAAGCAAAAAAAAAAAATTTTTTTCGCTCCACCCTACTAAAAACACACTAATTAACATAATGAGAATATTTAAACTACCGAAGTTCTGTGAGCGAACATGCGTTAAAAAGTCTGAAGCTTGCATAGGAAAGCTCGTCATGTCAAATATTTACTACGTGGAACTCATACCTAAAAAAAACGACTGATCGAATGTTTTATTTGAGTGAAGTATTCATGAAGGGAACAAGCATATACTTCGAGCAGCGGGTACTTAAATGAAGTCTATCTCTATAAATCTAATGTTTTCTTGTGTATATTCAAAAGTTATTGACAAATTATAAACTATTCTCGGTTAAAAAATCAAAAACTCAAAGCTAACTTAAAACGTGTCTCAGATGTAAGAAATTTTGGTCGAAGGAATAAATCATCGCTGAAATAAACATCTACTTCGAGGAAATAAACATCTACTGCGAAAACAAATGTTTTCTTTTAAAAATCATTTCCGAAAGATTGACTAATAACAAATTGCCGCCTGTCACTTAAACGACTAAGAAACCGCCATTCCCAGGTATCCAACAAATGTAGGTTGGCATAAGTCTTCAACTGCTTTCATGAAATGTTAATCGCCTTTTATTTTTAATATTTTTTATTCCAAAGATAAAGAGATTGACGCTGACTGCGTCTAGCTCGCTAACCATACGCTCGAGACTAGTGAATGCATGTCTAGATTTCTTATCTCCGGCATCGTGTAACTTTACTGACTGTTTTAGGTCCATGGTTACAGAAGAATTGCTGCAAGGCTAATGAGCTTGCTAGGACTGTTACTACAGTCTCACTAGCTGCACAATGGGGACGTGTAGGAGGTCTGCTGGCTTCTTGCGGTTCACTACTAGATGGTTGGGCCTGAGGTTAGAACGACAATTGCTTATCAGTTCCTAGCAACTGTTTAGTCGCACAGCCTATCGGGCCTAGGGAAAATAGTAAGAGGTTTTCGCTCTAAGCAAAGTTCACCTTTGAATAGTGTTAAGACTGTCCGGATGCCAGTTGCTTAAGCTGCTTGGAAGAAGTTGAGGTAAAATCAACTTAACCCTTCCTACTCGAATATCGCGCCTTTGCTAGATCCAGGCTAAGCTATCTTGAATTTCATACTTTCCAAATGAAGTAGCTGAAAACTGGCTTTAAAAAGGACTGTATATGGCAGTCTAAGTGTGATCCCCCGCTATTTTGAGGGACAATTTAACCAAACTTAACCTGGCTACGTTGTATATTCAAAATAGGTTTACTCGAATATTACATGCTTGGCTTTAAAAAGATGAATTTTTCGTTATAAATATTCATAAATCTAGCACTGGTTTCTTCACTAAGGGTTATTAGTGTTACTATTGTTGTAGGGCGAAGCTTCTTAAGTGTTCAACGCCATTCAACATAAAATAAATAATAACAATAAAAAGTGCGATTACGGTAGCGAAACTGCTAAATTGAAGGTGTTAGCTGGTGAAAACCGGTAATCACTGCTGCGCTGGAGAACTTCTCGTCGAGGAAAAGAACCAACAACAATTTTTTATTTGGCTTTGTGAAATCAACTTTACATTAAATATTTCCTTTTCAGCGTATATACAAATGTATGCTGTTTTTTCTCAAACTGCTAATAAATATTTTAAATCTGTGCGAAGTAGCATGTCAACATGCCCACTGTACCTGGTAACAAAGCATTCATTAACTTTTTGGTTTGCGACTTGGCTAAATATTTAAGATAAGAGCTTTCAATGTGCAGTAAGTATCCGCAATGACAAAAGCCGTTAGTGGAACAGGGTGGTTTGTATGAAAAGGAATTAAGTGATTTGTAAAGATTAGACCATAGACTAACTTTCAAAAATTGAGTTCAAAATAAATTTAAAGATTTGTCTTACTATTGACCGATATAGTATACGGCACAAAGTCAATATTGAGTTTAAAATTCGTATATTAGAAATATGGAGTTTAAGGTAGTATTGACAGGATTTTATGCATTTTAAAACATAATATTACCAGAAAAATATATTCACTGATTAATTAAGCTACCTCAAATATTGACAAATATATAAGGTAATCAGTCAAGCGGATTTTTGAAAGTCCTTACATTAGGTATTTGGGGTTTAGGCGAAGATTAACCCATTTTTGACGCAAGGGACATGCCCTTATCATAAAAACATTGTTTTTGAATTTCAGTAATATACCTTAGAGTTTTACCGATATTTTTCGTAAAAAGTCAACCCTAGGCACTGGGGTCCACAGATTCCGTATTTGGGGCCTTGAAAAGTTATGGTCCGATTTCGAATGTGATAAAATACTTTAAAGGCACTACAAACATCATTAAGTTGCGATGTATATACTGTAAAATGAATTACTTAGATTGAATTGAAAAATGTTATATTATATATGAGTATTAGGCATGGTTGGAGTAGGATTCCGTTCATATACAATACCGACCTTCGACAAAAGTAAGCTTAAAAGTTAGCTATTGAAGAAGAGAAGCTACTACTATTTTATTTGGAGAAAAATTAAAGGGTTACATCCACTTGCAAGTCTGAAAAAATGCTTATTTTTGTAAGGTTTTTTTTAAGCGCCATTTATTTTACAAAAAAGAAAATAAGGAGAATAAAGAGAATTGTTCATATAGCCGATCTCCCGAAGGACCTCCAGAAAAAGGTATCTGACGGTTAGAAAGATATTTCGGCGTCAAATTATCTGAAACCAAAAACCAATTAAATTCAGTATTATGATAGATGAAAACAGGTAATGATCAAAGGAATAGTGAAAAAATTAATTCATTGTGAGAAAATTTATCAAGTGGCTTAAAAAATCGAAATTATTGTCAAAGATCGTATTCCTTCGATCATTAGCTGATTTATTTATTTAAGAATGTCGTGTGAAAACTTCTAGCTGTGGATGCAGTCATTTGAGATATTTTCCTCAACGACTCTGAAAACAGCGTTTTAAGAAAAAACGATTTTAAAGTTTTCGGTGCCCATTATACTGAAAAATACTTACAAATACGTTCATATCCCAAAAACTATTTGCGGATCAACTTGAAATTTTTGAAGAATATTCTCAAATACATGTGCATTCGAAAAAGGCAAGAAATAAAAATTTTTGAAAATTACAAGTGGATATAAGTCTTAAGGAAATTAGGGAATTGCAATAGATGCTTGACTCCAGAAGCGGTATCAAGGTGAAATTTGTATTTGCCTTGGGCTGATTATGCTTTCCAGTTAGCTGAGAGGGCTCTTGAGCTAATTAGTTACTTACTACTATTAAGTGGCTTCCTGTGTTGCAAGTAATATTGCTCTACTTTTCCATACTTATTTGAAAAGGAAAATCATATACATATAAATATTATATCAAATTTGAATACAGTCGAACTCAATTAATTCTGCGAACCACAACGTACTTTACACGTATTTTCAAAGGAATTTCTGAAGAGCCAATATATTTAATTATTTGTAAAAATTTAAATTGTTACAGAATTCGTTGTAAATTGTAAATTAAGCTACATCTACAACTATCAATGTATATATACATAAATAAGTACTATTGAAGCTCACACATACCATCGCATTTTTGAAAAGAGTACATAGGGCTGCCATTTCATCCGAGAATTCGTGCACGTACGATATTCTAAAATTCAATAAACGATAGCAACGTTTTGAGTGCAGATGTCTTGTTTAAAATTCAGATATATACATTTATATGCGTCTGACTAAGCCTGGGAATGCCTGTGAACTACCAACTATACTCTATTGCTATTGCAAATGTCACAAAGTCAATCGAAAGGTGCTTATCAAACATAGCTAAATAAGCTAGCAATTCAAATATGCAGTATTGTGCAAAATTTATGCAACTAGTGGTGATATGGTTATTTTCTAGCTACATCTATGAAAAATTAATTTCAAAAAATTTATATTTTTTTTTGCATAT